GAGCTGGGACCAAAGTAACAAAGCCTACCATCAGTAACACACTACGCCGCCAGGGACTCAAATCCTCCAGTGCGAGACGTGTCCCCCTGCTTAAGCCAGTACATGTCCAGGCCCGTCTGAAGTGCATTTGGATGATCCAGAAGAGGATTGGGAGAATGTCATATGGTCAGATGAAACCAAAATATAACTTTTTGGTAAAAACTCAACTCGTCGTGTTTGGAGGACAAAGAATGCTGAGTTGCATCCAAAGAACACCATACCTACTGTGAAGCATGGGGGTGGAAACATCATGCTTTGGGGCTGTTTTTCTGCAAAGGGACCAGGACGACTGATCCGTGTAAAGGAAAGAATGAATGGGGCCATGTATCGTGAGATTTTGAGTGAAACCCTCCTTCCATCAGCAAGGGCATTGAAGATGAAACGTGGCTGGGTCTTTCAGCATGACAATGATCCCAAACACACCGCCCGGGCAACGAAGGAGTGGCTTCGTAAGAAGCATTTCAAGGTCCTGGAGTGGCCTAGCCAGTCTCCAGATCTCAACCCCATAGAAAATCTTTGGAGGGAGTTGAAAGTCTGTGTTGCCCAGCGACAGCCCCAAAACATCACTGCTCTAGAGGAGATCTGCATGGAGGAATGGGCCAAAATACCAGCAACAGTGTGTGAAAACCTTGTGAAGACTTACAGAAAACGTTTGACCTGTGTCATTGCCAACAAAGGGTATATAACAAAGTATTGAGAAACTTTTGTTATTGACCAAATACTTATTTTCCACCATCATTTGCAAATAAATTCATGAAAAATCCTACAATGTGATTTTCTGGAAATGTTTTTCTCATTTTGTCTATCATAGTTGACGTGTACCTATGATGAAAATTACAGGCCTCTCTCATCTTTTTAAGTGGGAGAACTTGCACAATTGGTGGCTGACTAAATACTTTTTTTCCCCACTGTATCTTGTTGTTATTGGTTGTTGTTAGTTGTTATTAGTCCCATCCTTCAACTCCATTCAACACCACCCATCTATCTCTTAACACCATCCATATTGGATTTCTATTTGCCATATATTTTTCAACTGTACTGTGATGTTTTATAAAAGTTCTGAACCTTTCTATTCTCATTGTTTATACAGATTGTAAATTGAAAATAAACATTTTTGCTAAAAGTATTATTATATTATTGATCAATTGACTATGACTTTTCAGATCACCCAGTAATGCTATCTACAGGGTTAGCTCCAGGTAAATATTGCAATCCTTTAGCCATTCCTGGACCTGTGTCCAAAAACAAGCTACAAATGGACAGTACCAAAACAAATGATCTAATGATTGTCTCTTCGCAGCAAAATCTGCAGAGCTGGGAAGATTGTATCCCCCATATAAATAACATTCTATTGGTTGCAAGAATTTTATATAATAACTTAGTGTTAACATGTTACATGAGAGCCATCCTCCCATTGCAAGGACAACAGAGAAGCAATGTGACATGTTAATATTTTTTACAGCACATTCAAAATGACAAAACAAACCATACAACTGTATAGCATAACAAAAGTGTATTAGGCATGATCAGAGCCATGTGTTTAGAAAAAATACATTGCTCTGGGCATGATTACATTGCCCTCTGCAACTGGATCCTGGACTTCCTGACGGGCCGCCCCCAGGTGGTAAGGGTAGGTAACAACACATCTGCCACACTGATCCTCAACACGGGGGCCCCTCAGGGGTGCGTGCTCAGTCCCCTCCTGTACTCTCTGTTCACCCATGACTGCATGGCCAGGCACGACTCCAACACCATCATTAAGTTTGCCGACGACACAACAGTGGTAGGCCTGATCACCGACAACGATGAGACAGCCTATAGGGAGGAGGTCAGAGATCTGGCCGTGTGGTGCCAGGACAACAACCTCTCCCTCAACGTGACCAAGACAAAGGAGATGATTGTGGACTACAGGAAAAAAAAGAGGACTGAGCACGCCCCCATTCTCATCGAAGGGGCTGTAGTGGAACAGGTTGAGAGCTTCAAGTTCCTTGGTGTCCACATCACCAACGAACTATCATGGTCCAAACACACCAAGACAGTCGTGAAGAGGGCACGACAAAGCCTATTCCCCCTCAGGAGACTGAAAAGATTTGGCATGGGTCCTCAGATCCTCAAAAAATTCTACAGCTGCACCATCGAGAGCATCCTGACTGGTTGCATCACCGCCTGGTATGGCAACTGCTTGGCCTCCGACCGCAAGGCACTACAGAGGGTAGTGCGTACGGCCCAGTACATCACTGGGGCAAAGCTTCCTGCCATCCAGGACCTCTATACCAGGCGGTGTCAGAGGAAGGCCCTCAAAATTGTCAAAGACTCCAGCCACCCTAGTCATAGACTGTTCTCTCTGCTACCGCACGGCAAGCGGTACCGGAGTGCCAAGTCTAGGTCCAAAAGACTTCTCAACAGCTTCTACCCCCAAGCCATAAGACTCCTGAACAGCTAATCATGGCTACCCGGACTATTTGCACTGCCCCCCCACCCCATCCTTTTTACGCTGCTGCTACTCTGTTAAGTATTTATGCATAGTCACTTTAACTCTACCCACATGTACATATTACCTCAACTACCTCAACTAGCCGGTGCCCCCGCACATTGACTCTGCAACGGTACCCCCCTGTATATATAGCCTCCCTACTGTCACTTTATTTTACTTCTGCTCTTTTTTTTCTCAACACTTTTTTTGTTGTTTTATTTTTTACTTTTTTTGTTTAAAATAAATGCACTGTTGGTTAAGGGCTGTAAGTAAGCATTTCACTGTAATGTCTGCACCTGTTGTATTCGGCGCATGTGACCAATAACATTTGATTTGATTTGATTTGATTATCTTTTTAACCTGCTATTGTGGTTTGTGCAATGGTAGAAATGTACACATGGTAATTTCTGACAATTTGTGAAAACGAAATGCCGTTTGTCAAACAAACAGTCACAAAATAAACTCTTAACAGCTAAATGTGAATAGGATCTTGTTTTATATCAAAAGAGAGTAAACACAGCACTAAATTATCTATTTTGTGTGTTTTTAAATTATCCTCAACATGGGTTGGTGATAATCTCTATGATATATATTCTATTTTTGGGGGGTATCTTCATCAAATATTAATCATGCAACAAAAAAAAATCACTTAATCACTATACCAAATTGATCTTATAGACGGGTTAGCTGACCATCACAAATTATGCACACGCGTCGATGGGGCAGAAGTCTGTGTGTTGTTATGATTCTGGACGGTCAGATAGCTAGAAACAATGACAAGAAGCTGCCATGTGTGGAATCACAGGTGGCTTGTTTTAGCTCATTGTGTATTGTTATTGATACCATGTCTTGTTTTGAGGTGTTTTTACTCTTGTCACGTCTATGCTAATATGGCTCAAATTAGCTAGCTAGCTAACCAACAACTGTAACAATGTATTTGAGAGACAACAAGTGCTCATTGTGCAAATGTATTTATGTTTTCAATAAAGATTTGGAGAGGAAATATAGTTTACATGTTGTCAACAATACTTTGATTCTAAGCCAACCCGACTGTTTTGTTCCACAGTTGCGCATGCATTGGTTTAGTTGCTAAACAACCCACCCATCTATATATTTATGTGACCCCTCAAAAGACACCCCATTGTAAATTCTGTCGTATAGTCCAATGTCACTTCCAATGTCATTGGATCTTTTAATGTCAAAAGGCACTCCTGGTAAAGTTAAGCTCCAATTGTTATTGTTGCAAACAAACATGACACATGACAGAGGCCCAGACTGTGGCAGAGCAAGTCGAATAGAAAACTCCAACCAGAACCCTTAAAACTTCAACGATATCATGTCCATTCAAGTGTAATAAAGCAGATGAATGATGACAGAACCCTGGACTTTCCCCACTACCGGATGTCATGGCCACTGGTGAAAAAAGTACACAATTATCATACTTGAGTAAAAGTAAAGATACCTTAATAGAAAATGACTCAAGTAAAAGTGAAAGTCACCCAGTAAAAACCTACTTGAGTAAAAGTCTAAAAGTTTTTTTTATATATACTTAAGTATCAAAAGTAAATGTAATTGCTAAAATATATTTAAGTATCAAAAGCTAAAGTAAAAGTATAAATAATTTCAAATTCCTTATATTAAGCAAACCAGACAGCACCATTTTCTTGTTTTTTTAATTTACGGCTAGCCAGGGGCACGCTTCAACACTCAGACATAATTTACAAACAAAGCATGTGTTTAGTGAGTTCGCCAGATCAGAGGCAGTAGGGATGACCAGGGATGTTTTCTTGATAAGTGTGTGAATTAGACAATTTTCCTGTCTTGCTAAGTATTCAAAATGTAACAAGTACTTTTGGGTGTTAGGGAAAATGTATGGAGTAAAAAGTACATCATTTTCTTTAGGAATGTAGTGAAGTAAAAGTTGTCAAAAATATAAATAGTAAAGTAAAGCACAGATACCCCCAAAACCTACTTAAGTAGTATTTTTAAGTGTTTTTACTTAAGTACTTTACACCACTGGTCATGGCAACACTGCAGTGGTTACCCTCCTTACAGTTATCAGTAAAAAGGCAAATTGCATATTATCTCTCTAGGAGAGGAATACATATCATATGCATTTTCCTATATTAGACTAGCCTGGTCGTTGTTCAGTTAATCATTCAATATTCACATGAGCCGCAAATGAACCTCACCGTCTGAATAAAATGTTTGAAACGGCCACAAGATGGCAATGTTGGTTCAAAGAGTTACTCAGTCAAAGATCTATCTGGACCCTTGTGGCCATGGAATTCAAAATCAAATTGGGAGACAAAATATGTTAAGTCCAGGGGGGAGTGGAGTTGGTTGAAGAGATTACCAGAGGGACAAGGGTACAATATGTTTAAAAAAACGGTAAACTACCTAACAACCCACACCTCCCCATCCTAATAGAGCACTCACACAGTCACACTGACTCACGCATGTCCGCACTGAGACACGGTGGCTATGTTTACAGAGGAGTGATGATAAACAAGGACACAGACTCCGGTATGTCTTCTCTCTGCTCCTCTGGCAGATGGTTGACAGGATCCAACTCTATTGTAGGAGTCACAGCTGTTTTTATTCTCTGGGGGCACAGAGAATATATAGAAGAAGAGGTTCAGAATCACATAAATAGTTTAATTTCTTATGGTGTCTGCTGATGCCCAGACTGCACTTTTGTTATTTATATGACTGCCATGTGGGATAAAACGTACAGTATCAGTATAGTGTGTGTGTATGTGTGCTTGTGTGTTTGTGTGTGCGTGCGCAGCCTGGTCTCATAGACTAGACGTAACATAGTAAATGTAAATCCAGGACACTCAAATGAGTATGATATGATATGTATGGTTACATAAGACAGATAGTTACTTAAGGCAAAAGTAGGGTGGTTGGTTGGGGTGGACGGGTTAGCATATAACGCGAACATCTAATTTGCAACTTTTCAATGACTTTGCAACTGATTAGCATGTTAGCTAAACCTTATCTTAACCCTTTAACCTAACTCCTAAACTTAACCCTAACCCCTAGCCTAGCTAACGTTAGCCAACTAGCTAGAATTTGTGACATATTATACATTTAGCAAATTCGTAACATACAGTGAGGGAAAAAAGTATTTGATCCCCTGGTGATTTTGTACGTTTGCCCACTGACAAAGAAATGATCAGTCTATCATTTTAATAGTAGGTTTATTTGAACAGTGAGAGACAGAATAACAACAACAAAAATCCAGAAAAACGCATGTCAAAATTGTTATAAATTGATTTGCATTTTAATGAGGGAAATAAGTATTTGACCCCCTCTCAATCAGAAAGATTTCTGGCTCCCAGGTGTCTTTTATACAGGTGACGAGCTGAGATTAGGAGCACACTCTTAAAGGGAGTGCTCGTAATCTCAGTTTGTTACCTGTATAAAAGACACCTGTCCACAGAAGCAATCAATCAATCAGATTCCAAACTCTCCACCATGGCCAAGACCAAAGAGCTCTCCAAGGATGTCAGGGACAAGATTGTAGACCTACACAAGGCTGGAATGGGCTACAAATAAACCTACCATTAAAATTATAGACTGATCATTTCTTTGTCAGTGGGCAAACGTACAAAATCAGCAGGGGATCAAATACTTTTTTCCCTCACTGTATAGTAACGTTTTGCAAATTCATAACATACTGTACATTTTGCAAATTCGTAACATATAATACGAATTGTAATTCGTAACATATCAAACAAAATGTGCTTTGGACATACCATACAAAATGTAACATATCATACTACCTTTCTGCCATCCAGGACCTCTATACCAGGCAGTGTCAGAGGAAGGCCCTAAAAATTGTCAAAGACTCCAGCCACCCTAGTCATAGACTGTTCTCTCTGCGCCAAGTCTAGGTCCAAAAGGCTTCTGAACAGCTTCTACCCCCAAGCCATAAGACTCCTGAACAGCTAATCATGGCTACCCGGACTATTTGCATTGTCCCCCCCACCCCACCCCACCCCACCCCCTCGTTTACGCTGCTGCTACTCTCTGTTAATTATCTATGCATAGTCACTTTAACTCTACCCACATGTACATATTACCTCAATTACCTCAACTAACCGGTGCCCCCGCACATTGACCCCCTGTATATAGCCTCCCTACTATTATATTTTACTGCTACTCTTTAATTATTTGTTATTTTTTACTTATCTATTTTTTACTTAACACTTTTTTCTTAAAACGGCATTGTTGGTTAAGGGCTTGTAAGTATAACAACAACAAAATCCAGAAAAACGCATGTCAAAAATGTTATAAATTAAATTGCAAATCAATGTATAAAATGTTTGACATGCGTTTTTCTGGATTTTGTTGTTGTTATTCTGTCTCTCAATGTTCAAATAAACCTACCATTAAAATTATAGACTGATCATGTCTTTGTCAGTGGGCAAACGTACAAAATCAGCAGGGGATCAAATACTTTTTTCCCCTCACTGAATGAGTACTAGTATATAAGTAGAGTATGTATGCATGATGCTACAACAGTATCTGTGAGCTATACCTATGTAAGTATCAGTATGTGTGTTTGTTTTGGTTTACTGAAAGAATGATCACCTGCAGCAGTGAGCCCTTATTTCTGCAGATCTCTTGCAGGGCTCCCAGGGGGATCCACACTATGGAGACCAGGGAGATTCCCCAGCCCACCACCTCTGCCCAGACAGGGTATGTGTATGACTTCCCATAGCGAGCTGGCGTGTATTGGACGATGCTGGAGATCAAAATGCACTGCAGGGGAGGATAGGAGAGGCAAACAATCTCACTCTAACTCACATGGAGCAGGTTAGGCTTGGATGAAACATTTACATTTTAGTCATTTAGCAGACGCTCTTATCCAGAGCGACTTACAGTTAGTGAGTGCATACATTATATTTTTTTCACACTGGCCTTACGACTATCACTACTATAACGACTACAAAAAGTAAAACACAACAACTAGAAAACACATCAAATCCTCATCACCATCATAATTATGCTAATTGTACTCCTCCTCATCATAAATACATCAGTCAGCCATAGCACTCACCAGGACCAGCACAGGGGAGAAGATCATCCAGCAGGAGCGGAAATAGATGTTGGGAGCCTTTCCCAACATTCTCTTGATCATGATGGTCATCCGCCGCAGTCCTGCAAAAACACATTGCATTAAATCCTTAAATTAACTCAGACATACATACTGTTTGTAGAGCAAAGTGTACACTACATGAACAAAAGTATGTGGACACCTGTTCGTCGAACATCTCATTCCAAAATCATGGGCATTAATATGGAGTTGGTACCCCCTTTGCTGCTATAACAGCCTCCACTCTTCTGGGAAGGCTTTCCACTAGTTGTTGGAACATTGCTGCAGGGAGTTGCCACAATCGTCTAGAATGTCATTGTATGCTTTTGCGTTAAGATTTCCCTTCACTGGAACTAAGGGGCCTAGCCCGAACCATGAAAAACAGCCCCAGACCATTATTCCTCCTCCACCAAACTTTACAGTTGGTACTATGCATTGGGGCAGGTAGCGTTCTCCTGGCATCCGACAAACCCAGATTTGTCCGTCGGACTGCCAGATGGTGTAGCGTGATTCATCACTCCAGAGAACGTGTTGCCACTGCTCCAGAGTCCAATGCCGGCAAACTTTACACCACTCCAGCCGACGCTTGGCATTGCGCATTATCTTAGGCTTGTGTGCGGCTGCTCGGCCTTGGAAACCCATTTTGTGAAGCTCCCAACGAACAGTTATTGTGCTGACGTTGCTTACAGAGGCAGTTTGGAACTCGGTAGTGAGTGTTGCAACAGAGGACAGATGATTTTTACACACTTCAGCACTCGGCGGTCCTGTTCTGTGAGCTTGTGTGTTCTCCCACTTTGCGGCTGAGCCGTTGTTGCTCCTAGACGTTTCCACTTCACAATAACAGCACTTACAGTTGACCGGGGCAGCTCTAGCAGGGCAGAAATTTGACAAACTGACTAGTTGGAAAGTTGGCATCCTATGACGGTGCCACGTTGAAAGTCACTGCTCACAGCTCTTCAGTAAGGCCATTCTACTGCCAATGTTTGTCTATGAAGATTGCATGGCTGTGTGCTTGAATTTATACACCGGTCAGCAACGGGTCTGGCTGAAATAGCCGAATCCACTAATTTGAAGGGGTGTCCACATACTTTTGTATATATAGTGTAATTTTCTTGTATAAATAAACAAAGTCCTGTAAGATCTCACTCATAATCAGGATGTTACATGTAATCAATTACTGTAAGACCAAAGTCATTTCCAGGCTGTTGAATATCATCATAAGGGTAGAGAAGGTGCTGGGTATTACCAAAAACCCAGCAGACAGCGATTACTTCAAAGAAGGACAGGAACATGAGCGACACCACAGCAGTGTAGTGGTCCATCAACTGGAACACATAGATGCCCCCCTGTGGAGAGAGAGGGAGTCGTTTTAGTCGCATACAGAAAAAAACTAAAATACAGTGCCTTTGGAAAGTATTCAGACCCCTTCACTTTTTCCACATTTTGTTACGTTACAGCTTTATTCTAAAATGGTTTAAATAAAAACATTTCCTCAGCAATCTACACACAATACCCCATAATTAAATAAAAACATTTCCTCAGCAATCTACACACAATACCCCATAATGAAAATCGAAAATAGCTTTATTTTTTATTTTAGCAAATATATTAAAAATAATAAACAGAAATACCTTATTTACATAAGTATTCAGACCCTTTGCTATGAGACTCAAAATTGAGCTCAGGTGCATCCTGTTTCCATTGATCATCCTTAAGATGTTTCTACAACTTGATTGCAGTCCACCTGTGGTAAATTCAATTGATTGGACATGATTTGAAAAGGCACACACCTGTCTATATAAGGTCCCACAGTTGACAGTCAGAGCAAAAACCAAGCCATGAGGTCGAAGGAATTGTCCGTAGAGCTATGAGACAGGATTGTGTTGAGGCACAGATCTGGGGAAGGGTAGCAAAACATTTCTGCAGCATTGAAGGTCCCCATGAACACAGTGGCCTCCATCATTCTTAAATGGAAGAAAGTTTGGAACCACCAAGACTCTTCCTAGAGCTGGCCGCCTGGCCAAACTGAGCAATCGGTGGAGAAGGGCCTTGGTCAGGTAGGTGACAGAGCTCTAGAGCTCCTCTGTGGAGATGGGAAACTTCCAGTAGGACAACCATCTCTGCAGCACTCCACCAATCAGGCCTTTATGGTAGAGTGGCCAGACAGAAGCCACTCCTCAGTAAAAGGCACATGACAGCCCGCTTGGAGTTTGCCAAAAGGCACCTAAAGGACTCTCAGACCATGAAAAACAAGATTCTCTGGTCTGATGAAACCAAGATTGAACTCTTTGGCCTGAATGCCAAGCGTCACATCTGGAGGATACCTGGCACCATCCCTACGATGAAGCATGGTGGTGGCAGCATCATGCTGTGGGGATGTTTTCCAGCGGCAGAGACTGGGAGACTAGTCAGGATCGAGGAAAGATGAACGGAGCAAAGTACAGAAAGATCCTTGATGAAAACCTGCTCCAGAACGTTCAGGACCTCAGACTGGGGCGATGGTTCACCTTCCAACAGGACAACAACCCTAAGCACACAGCCAAGACAACGCAGGAGTGGCTTCGGGACAAGTCTCTGAATGTCCTTGAGTGGCCCAGCCAGAGCCTGGACTTGAACCCCATCGAACAGCTCTGGAGACCCCTGAAAATAGCTGTGCAGCAACACTCCCCATCCAACCTGACATAGCTTGAGAGGACCTGCAGAGAAGAATGGGAGAAACTCCCCAAATACAGGTGTGACAAGCTTGTAGCGTACCCAAGAAGACTCGATGCTGTAATCGCTGTAATTATTGTTTTTTTAATTGTAATACATTTGCAAAACTTTCTAAAAACCTGTTTTTGCATTGTCATTATGGGGTATTGTGTGTAGATTGATGAGGGAAAAAAACTATTTAATCAATTTTAGAATAAGGCTGTAACGTAACAAAATGTGGAAAAAGTAAAGGGGTCTGAATACTTTCCGAAGCCACTGTAAACAGGTCCAAACATGAGCATACAGTCTATGTCAGAGAAGGAGGGGTGGGGGTTACCCCATGAATAGTAATTATATCTGACAGGATTACCTTACCTTAGTGATGTGAGGAATGCCTAGAAGGAAGCCCATAACACAGACGGCCAGAACGATGAGCTCCTGTCTCTTCAGGACACGCAGCACCTTATGGCCGAAGCTGTCTATTATGGACGTCACCGCCACCTCCACCATGGCAAACTGCAGGGCACAGTACAGCACAGTGGACATTTACACTGAGATCTGGGTTTGAGACTGGGGACTGTTTTTGGGTAATGTAAATACAGCAAATGTCCATTGATATCTCTCTCCCTCTCTGGCATTGTTACAGGATTTCAACTATGAACTTACTAACCATTTAGCTTAGAGGTGGAATTGCTTCCTGTGGATTCTGTTCTATATTTGCTATAAAAAACAAAACAATAAAATGCACAAGCACAGCCTGTACCAGAGTTTGGTTGAGTGGTAACACTGCCAACTCATTTTACATTTTAGTCATTTAGCAGACACTCTTATCCAGAGCAACTTACAGGAGCAATTAGGGTTAAGTGCCTTGCTTAAGGGCACATCGACAGATTTTTCACCTAGTCGGCTCAGGGATTAGAACCAGCGACCTTTCGGGTTACTGGCACAGCGCTCTTACCCACTAAGCTACCTGCCGCCCAACTCCAGAGTACACATGCGGTCAGGGTTCAATTCCCTGGTCCGGCATTTCTACACTTCCTTTCTTCCCTCCTCTGTCTCACTCTCTCCTACCATCAATCTAAATAAAATTAAAAAGGAATTGTAATTGTTCATGAGCTACAATGTTGTGTGTGTGTCTAACCTGGCTGTCCAGTCCCAGGCAGAGAAGCATGAAGAAGAACAGAGGAGCCCACAACTGGGGCAGAGGCATAGTGGAGAAGACCTCTGGATACACCACAAACACCAAGCCAGGACCTGTGGCACAGACACATACCATAGAATGGTACTTTGTTGAGAACATTTTACAGATAAATGACACCAGTGGTTATTCTCAACCTAAACAAGGAAGTCAAAGCATTCAATAAAAAAACAAGGTACATGGGCCACCTTTTCCACCCTCAAAATACTTCAATAATTCATGCAGTTCACCACATCAGTAATTTGACCTAACAAAAGACGTTAGAGCACAGAAGTGCTCTTCATACATTCATGAAGGGAATGAAACAGAGCCATATCATATAGAATGTCCTGAACACCTCACCATTACTATCATCTGACTGTATACCACCATTACCTCACACTCACAGAACAAACTATCTAGTCAATAATTTGAGAGCTTGGGACTATAAGGTTCTCTGCATTTTTTTCAAAATTAAGTTGTTGACATAGCCTTGTTCTATTCAATGTTCTTTACCTATATTGTACTCTAAATAGCCCAATGTATGTTGTTACGTTCAAAAGAATACAAGATCAAAAATTGCTGACATCATTCAAACCAGTGAGGGTTTGGAACTTTAAAAGCCAATTATCTCAAAATCCTCTTTTTGCAGATAGAACCTAATAGTCCCAAGCTCTTGAATTGCCATCCACCAGATGTCAGTCGGTGTAGAACAGTCAGTCAGCAGTGAGACACACTTGTGTGTTTCAAAGCCGGTATCTGAGATCATATGTGGGACTGAGCCAAGCCTGAGCAGAGTCTGGCAGGCACACTGGTTAATCCCTACTATACTTTCTCCAAAAGGTCCTAATTACACTGTGTGAACAATCACATGTGTTGCTGTTTCACCTGAAGTTCACCTTAAGCGAATCCAAGTTTAATTCACAATTCATTTCAAATAGATATATCTACCTCTCTACGGTGCATTTGGAAAATATTCAGAACCCTTCACTTTTTCCACATTTTGTTACGTTACAGCCTTATTCTTAAATTGAAGAATACACATTTTTCCTCATCAATCTACACACAATACCCCATAATGACAAAGCGAAAGCAGGTTTTTAGAAATGTTTGCAAATTGATTGAAAATAAAAAACAAATACCTTATTTACGTAAGTATTCAGACCCTTTGCTATGAGACTCGAAATTGAGCTAATGTGCATCCTGTTTCCATTGATCATCCTTGAGATGTTTCTACATCTTGATTGGAATCCACCTGTGGTAAATTAAATTGATTGGACATGATTTGGAAAGGCACACACCTCTCTATATAAGATCCCACAGTTAACAGTGCATGTCAGAGCAAAAACCAAGCCATGAGGTCGAAGGAATTGTCCGTAGAGCTCCGAGACAGGATTGTGTCGTGGCACAGATATGGTGAAGGGTACCAAAAAACTTCTGCAGCATTGAAGGTCCCCAAGAACACAGTGGCCTCCATCATACTTAAATTGAAGAAGTTTGGAACCACCAAGACTCTTCCTAGAGCTGGCCGCCCGGTGGTCACTCTGACAGAGCTCCAGAGTTCCTCTGTGGAGATGGGAGAACATTCCAGAAGGACAACCGTCTTTGCAGCACTCCACCAATCAGGCCTTTATGGTAGGGTGGCCAGACGGAAGCCACTCCTCAATAAAAAGGCACATGACAGCCCGCTTGGTGTTTGCCAAAAGGTACCTAAAGGACTCTCAGACCATGAGAACCAAGATTCTCTGGTCTGATGAAACCGATTGAACTCTTTGGCCTGAATGCCAAGTGTCACGTCTGGAGGAAACCTGGCACTATCCCTACGGTGAAGCATGGTGGTGGCAGCATCATGCTGTGGTGATGTTTTTCAGCGGTAGGGACTGGGAGACTAGTCAGGATCGAGGGAAAGATGAACAGAGCCAAGTACAGAGAGATCCTTGATGAAAACCTGCCACAGAGTGCTCAGGACCTCAGACTGGGATGAAGGTTCACCTTCCAATAGGACAACGACCCTAAGCACACAGCCAAGACAACGCAGGAGTGGCTTCGGGACAAGTCTCTGAATGTCCTTGAGTGGCCCAGCCAGAGCCCGGACTTGAACCCGATCAAACATCTCTGGAGAGACCTGAAAATAGCTGAGCAGCGACGCTCTCCATTCAACCTGAAAGAGATTGAGAGGATCTGCAGAGAAGAATGGGACAAACTCCCCAAATACAGGTGTGCCAAGCTTGTAGCGTCATACCCAAGAAGACTCGAGGCTGTAATCGCTGCCAAAGGGGCTTCAATTTCTAAAAAACTGTTTTCGCTTTGTCATTTTGGGGTATTGTGTAGATTGATCAGGGAAAAAAACATTTAATCAATTTTAGAATAAAGCTGTAACGTAACAAATTGTGGAAAAAGACAAGGGATCTGAATAATTTCCAAATGCACTGTTTATATATATAAATATATGTATATACAGTACAAGTGAAAAGTTTGGACACACCTACTCATTCTAGGGTTTTTCTTTATTTTGTACTATTTTCTACATTGTAGAATAATAGTGAATACATCAAAACTATGAAATAACACATATGGAATCATGTAGTAACCAAAAGTGTTAAACAAACTGAAATATATTTTACATTTGAGATTCTTCAAAGTAGCCACCCTTTGCCTTGATGACAGCTTTTCACACTCTTGGCATTCTCTCAACCAGCTTCATGAGCTAGTCACCTGGAATGCATTTCAATTAACAGGTGTGCCTTGTTAAAAGTTAATTGTTGGAATTTCTTTCCTTCTTAATGCTTTTGAGCCAAATCAGTTGCGTTGTGACAAGGTAGGGGTGGTAAAGAGAAGATAGCCCTATTTGGTAAAAGACCAAGTCCATATTATGGCAAGAACAGCTCAAATAAGCAAAGAGAAATGACAGTCCATGATTACTTTAAGACATGAAGGTCAGTCAATCCGGAAAATTTCAAGAACTTTGAACGTTTTTTCAAGTGCAGTCGCAAAAACCATCAAGCGCTGTGATGAAACTGGCTCTCATGAGGACTGCCACAGGAAAGGAAGACCCAGAGTTACCTCTGCTGCATTGATAAGTTCATTAGAGTTACCAGCCTCAGAAATTGCAGCCCAAATACAGTGGCTTGGGAAAGTATTCACCCCCACTTGGCATTTTTCCTATTTTGTTGCCTTACAACCTATAATTAAAATTGATTTTGGGGGGGTTTGTATAATTTAATTTACACAACATGCCTACCTTTGAAGATGCAAAATATTTTTTGGGGTGAAACAAACAAGAAATGAGACAAAAAAACGGAAAACTTGAGCGTGCATAACTATTCACCCCCCCCCCCCCCCCCCACTCGAGTGTTGCTTTAGCAGTATGCTTAGGGTCATTGTCCTGCTGGAAGGTGAACCTCCGTCCCAGTCTCAAATCTCTGGAAGACTGAAACCGGTTTCCCTGAAGAATTTCCCTCTATTTAGCGCCATCCATCATTTCCTTCAATTCTAACCTGTTTCCTAGTCCCTGCCGATGAAAAATATCCCCAGAGCATGATGCTGCCACCACATTTACATTTATGTCATTTAGCAGACGCTCATATCCAGAGCGACTTACAAATAGGTGCATTCACCTTATAGCCAGTGGTATAACCACTTTACAATTTTTTGTTTATTTCCTTTCTTTATGTATTTTTAAAACTTATTTAGTATTCTGTTTTCTTTTTATTAATTAGTCTTTTTTTTTCTTTTTTCAGTTAATTTTATTTATTTTTTTTGTGCTTTTTTTCATCATAAAAATGCTTCACTGTGGGGATGGTGTTCTCGGGGTGATGAGAGGTGTTGGGTTTGTGCCAGACATAGCGTTTTCCTTGATGGCCAAAAAGCTCAATTTTAGTCTCATCTGACCAGAGTACCTTCTTCCATATGTTTGGGGAGTCTCCCACATGCCTTTTGGCGAACACCAAACATGTTTTTTTTTTTTCTGTAAGCAATGGCTTTTTTCTGGCCACTCTTCTGTAAAGCCCAGCTCTGTGGAGTGTACGGCTTAAAGTGGTCCTATGGACAGATAGTCCATTCTCCGCTGTGGAACTTTGCAGCTCCTTCAGGGTTATGTTTGGTCTCTTTGTTGCCTCTCTGATTAATGCCCTCCTTGCCTGGTCCGTGAGTTTTGGTGGGTGGCCCTCTCTTGGCAGGTTTGTTGTGGTGCCATATTCTTTCCATTTTTTAATAATGGATTTAATGGTGCTCCGTGGGATGTTCAAAGTTTCGGATATTTTCTTATAACCCAACCCTGATCTGTACATCTCCACAACTTTGTCCCTGACCTGTTTGGAGAGCTCCTTGGTCTTCATGGTGCAACTTTCTTGGTGGTGCCCCTTGCTTAGTGGTGTTGCAGACTCTGGGCCTTTCAGAACAGGTGTATACATACTGAGAACATGTGACATATCATGTGACACTTAGATTGCACACAGGTGGACTTTATTTAACTAATTATGTGACTTCTGAAGGTAATTGGTTGCACCAGATCTTATTTAGGGGCTTCATAGCAAAGGTGGTGAATACATATGCACGCACCACTTTTCCGTTATTTATTTTTTATAATTTTTTAAAATAAGTTATCTTTGGAGGGAGCTGAAAGTCCGTATTGCCCAGCGACAGCCCCGAAACCTGAAGGATCTGGAGAAGGTCTGTATGGAGGAGTGGGCCAAAATCCCTGCTGCAGTGTGTGCAAACCTGGTCAAGACCTACAGGAAACGTATGATCTCTGTAATTGCAAACAAAGGTTTCTGGACCAAATATTAAGTTCTGCTTTTCTGATGTATCAAATACTTATGTCATGCAATAAAATGCAAATTAATTACTTAAAAATCATACAATGTGATTTTCTGGATTTTTGTTTTATATTCCGTCTCTCACAGTTGAAGTGTATCTATGATAAAAATGACAGACCTCTACATGCTTTGTAAGTAGGAAAACCTGCAAAATCGGCAGTGTATCAAATACTTGTTCTCCCCACTGTATATATATATATATATATATATACATACACACACACATACATACATACATACATACCACACACAGTTGAAGTCGGAAGTTTACATATACCTTAGCCAAATACATTTAAACTCAGTTTTTCACAATTCCTGACATTTAATCCTAGTAAAAATTCCCTGTCTTAGGTCAGTTAGCATCACCACTTTCTTTGAAGAATGTGAAATGTCAGAATAATAGTAGAGAGAATTATTTATTTCAGCTTTTATTTATTTCATCACATTCCCAGTGGGTCAGAAGTTTACATACACTCAATTAGTATTTGGTATAAATTGTTTAACTTGGGTCAAACGTTTCGGGTAGCCTTTCACAAGCTTCCCACAATAAGTTGGGTGAATTTTGGCCCATTCCTCCTGACAGAGCTGGTGTAACTGAGCCAAGTTTGTAGGCCTCCTTGCTGGCACACGCCTTTTCAGTTCTGCCCACACATTTTCTATAGGATTGAGGTCAGGGCTTTGTGATGGCCACTCCAATACCTTGACTTTGTTGTCCTTAAGCCATTTTGCCACAACTTTGGAAGTATGCTTGGGGTCATTGTCCATTTGGAAGACCCATTTGCGGCCAAGCTTTAACTTCCTGACTGATGTCTTGAGATGTTGCTTCAATATATCCACATCATTTTCCTTCCTCATGATGCCATCTATTTTGTGAAGTGCACCAGTCCCTCCTGCAGTAAAGCACCCCCACAGTTTGATGCTGCCACCCCCGTGCTTCACAATTGGGATGGTGTTCTTCGGCTTGCAAGCAACCCCCTTTTTCCTCCAAACATAACGATGGTCATTACGGCCAAACAGTTCTATTTTTGTTTCATCAGACCAGAGGACATTTCTCCAAAAAGTAAGATCTTTGTCCCCATGTGTAGTTGCAAACCGTAGTCTGGCTTTTTTATGGCGGTTTTGGAGCAGTGGCTTCTTCCTTGCTGAGCGGCCTTTCAGGTTATGTCAATATAGGACTCGTTTTACTGTGGATATAGATACTTTTGTACCTGTTTCCTCCAGCATCTTCACAAGGTCCTTTGCTGTTGTTCTGGGATTGATTTGCACTTTTCGCATCAAAGTACGTTAATCTCTAGGAGACAGAACGTGTCTCCTTCCTGAGTGGTATGACGGCTGCGTGGTCCCATGGTGTTTATACTTGCGTACTATTGTTTGTACAGATAAACGTGGTCCCTTCAGACATTTTGAAATTTCTCCCAAGGATGAACCAGACTTTTTTTCTGAGGTCTTGGCTGATTTCCTTAGATTTTCCCATGATGTCAAGCAAAGAGGCACTGAGTTTGAAGGTAGGCCTTGAAATACATCCACAGGTGCACCGCCAATTGACTCAAATGATGTCAATTAGCCTATCAGAAGCTTCTAAAGCCACGACATCATTTTCTGGAATTTTCCAAGCTGTTTAAAGGCACAGTCAACTTAGTGTATGTAAACTTCTGACCCATTGGAATTGTGATACAGTGAATTATAAGTGAAATAATCTGTCTGTAAACAATTGTTGGAAAAATGACATGCACAAAGTAGATGTCCTAACCGACTTGCCAAAACTATAGTTTGTTATCAAGAAATGTGTGGAGTGGTTGAAAAACAAGTTTTAATGACTCCAACCTAAGTGTATGTAAACTTCCGACTTCAACTGTATATACAGTACCAGTCAAAAGTTTGGACACACCTCTCTCCCTCTATTTCTCTCTTGCTTGTCCTTTATTTTGGAAGAAATTAATTGGTTCAAAACTGTTCAACTATTGTCTTTCTCTCTCTTTGAGTCAACTACTCACCACATTTTATGCACTGCCGTGCTAGCTAGCTGTAGCTTATGCTTTCAGTACTAGATTCATTCTCTGATCCTTTGATTGGGTGGACAACATGTCAGTTCATGCTGAAAGAGCTCTGATAGGTTGGAGGACGTCCTCCGGAAGTTGTCATAATTACTGTGTAAGTCTATGGAAGGGGGTGAGAACCATGAGCTTCCTAGGTTTTGTATTGAAGTCAATGTACCCAGAGGATGACGGAAGCTATCTGTCCTCCGGCTACACCATGATGATACCCTAAATAGTGCTGTGGAGGCTACTGCAGACCTTCTTTGCAAAATAGTGTGTTTTAGTCAATTATTTGGTGACATGTGATTATATTTAGTATAGTTTTATCTAAAAATGATAACTTTTTTTATGTTTTAAATTTATTTTTATGAAATTCACTGAGGAAGATGGTCCTCCCCTTCCTCCTGTGAGCAGCCTCCACTGAAGTAGATGGATGAACAGCAATCAAAGAAGTCCCACTTAAACAGGAAGTACTTACCATCTGTGGCGATGTTGTCCACTGGGAGGTTGTGGATATGAGCCATGTAGCCGATGGCTGAGAATATCACAAAGCCAGCCAGGATACTGGTGGCTGAGTTAGCTAAAGAGACAATCAACGTGTCCCTAGGGGAGGACAAGAAAACAAACACAACAGTCAGACTGATGGGATTTCTCATAGTTAAGTGGATCACTAAGGAGAACACTTAGCTCTGAGGGCTAAAACTAGCCATTTGGTTTGAAGTACAGTCTGTGGTGAGTAACTACAGTAACTGGCCAGGGACAAGCAACATGGTTGGTTGCTTCTGAGGAATAGCCAAGCACTTGTGTAGCAACCAGTTCCACTGAGGCTTTACGCCTTCGTCAAAGCTAATAGTTTTCTCAATTCTGAAATACCATTTTAGTCCACAAAACAACGTCCTCGTCGCACATGCTATGTCTATTTAGCTATTCTCACAGAAATAAGAAAGAATAACACTGATTTGAACTAGATATGCATTTTAAAAGGAGGAGCAGCAGTGCCTCCCTTAGAAGAATGTATGGAGGAGTTTTAGTCTTGATAACTTTACATGCTCAAACAGGGATCTTTTGTGTTTACATTTATTGATACCAATCATGGGAAACAGCAGTACAGTGTACAATGGCACAGTTCGGTAAATCTTTAAGGTTACAAATCGGGAATGTATTGACGGATCTGTTGATGTACAAAACATGGTGGGCCTTATTGAGAAAACACAGTTAACTGCTCTTAGTCACCATGAGAGGCAGCAGTGGGATGTATTAATGGTTGCCAAGGGAAATCAGGCTTCCCCCAACAATCGACAAAAAAATATATATAAAATAAAAATAAAATTATGTATCTTTCGTCTCTCTGCGTTTCATAATTTTCCCTCAATTCACAAGAGGCTGAATGTATCTCACCGGTGAAAGCATCCGAGCGAGCGAAACAGATCCCGTCTCTGTATGTGTAGCCCATTTTTCTGATGCCGTCTGGTCAAAAATAGTATGATATTGTTGCCGCCCACAGCATTGAATGAAAGGGAAGCCAGCGAGCATTTGGCCTCCATTGATATTTTTTTTAATACAATAATAGCCAATCAGTGTTGAGCTAAACTGAGTGAGCTCAACTGTAAATGGTCCTGGCGCACCAAAAAAATAAAAAAAGTGTCAAGTGAAGCCAGTTTGGATTTGGCTTCACACCAATCACATCACATCAAGCCAAACGTAATTTGACAGAAAAAAAACGTACATTGATGCATCACATTGTGTTGTTGTCCTCCGGTGGTTAGTTAGCTAGGTAAAATTGGCCCTTTACTAAATTAGCCATGGATGGAGATAGGGATTTGGACTTGTGGTTTTACTTAATTCTCCGTACTGGCCAAAGATTATAACAGCGATTCTGATCCAACCTTAAATTCATACATTGTGCCTCTGGCTTGAGAGGATGGAAGTTCAATATGTAGCTAGATGTAGTAGGCTAATGTTAACTAGCTGGATAATTGTTGTCATGAAAGGAAGCTAGGCTAGCGAGCAAGCATTTTAGCCAGGTAGCTTAGGACAACAGAAACTAAAAGTGTGTACTGTATGACAGAGTCATAGACCGTTTCAGCAACATGAGAGAGGAGGATGACATGGCGTTTCTCTACAAGTTGGTTGAGTCAACATGTTTTCTCTACTTACGCACACACACACAAATCAGTGCCATGGACAGCCACATGATATTTAGCTTACATTGAATGGACTAAATTGTTTTTGGAATCTTTTAGTTGTCACTGTATTAGACTAAATGGTGCTGGAATAGTTGAGGCAGCTCCTGTTTTCTTTGCGACTTGCGGTAATGCTCCGGTGTTTTAAATCAATAGTTGTTTAGTAGTCCAAAAATTACTGAAACATTAACTTGATTGACCATGCTGCAGGTCACGTAACTATTTGTTACATGCAATATGCTTTGTTATTTGCTACATGCAATATGGTTGTTTTGTGGACTCCACCGGACGGATGTTGCTCTACGGTTTTGTGATGAAACAAAGGTGTGGTTGAATTTATTTTGCCATTGTGTCTTCTTATTGTTTCAGCCTAGGCCTATATATCACGGTGGCAAGACAGATTATAGAGCAAACAACAAAATTATTACAACACATAGGTTGTAATATGGCTTTTTTTTCCCTAGCTTGGCTTCCCCAGTGATTTTAGCCACGCACCACTACTGAGAGGTAGTTATTATTTTTGAACTATAGACTTACACTGTGGATCTGCAGACAATCATGGCAAAGACAAAGTGGTACTGTAGTGGTTGGTATAGGAGACTGCATGTCTAACCTAAGGATGTTGTTGTTGAACTTGTTGTAACTGGCCATGGAGATCATGGAGCCAAATCCTATTCCAATGGAGTTGAATACCTGGGCTGCAGCGTTAACCCACACCTGCAGTAAGGCAGAGGTGAGTGGATAAAGGTGAGAGAGGGACACAACTTCTTTACTCATTCTGTAAAACAAGAACACAAATACACTTCTAGGTGGTTTCCCAGGAACAGATTAAACCTAATCCTGGACTAAAATGCTTTTTCAATGGAGATAATTTTTTGTCCAAGACTACACTCTTAGAAAAAAAAGGTGCTATCTAGAACCTAAAAGGGTTCTTCGGCTGTCCCCATAGGAGAACCCTTTGAAGAACCCTTTTTGGTTCCATGTAGAACCCTTTCCACAGAGGGCTCGACATGGAACCCAAAAGAGTTCTACCTGGAACCAAAAAGGGCTCTACCTGGAATCAAAAAGGGTTCTCCTATGGGGACAGCCGAATAACCCTTTTTTATAAGAGTGTAGGCTTAATCTGTGTCTGGGAAACCGCCCCTTAATCCTCATTGATCCTCTCCTACAGTATGTCAGACCTGAACTTCAAGCAGCTTGCTCCAGTTAGGCTTCAGGAAGTAGCGCATCCCATTCTTGGCCCCGGGAAGCTGGACATTGTTGATGAGCAAGGCGAACAGAATGAAGTATGGGAACGTGGCTGTGAAATAAACAACCTAAAGCACAGAGAGTGAGAAGAAAAAATCAGTAAGTATATTATTAGTTTAAATGTATTGTATTTATTTGGTATTTTATTAGGATCCCCATTAGCTACAACCAAGCTGCAGCTACTCTTCCACACAACACATATAAGATGACATAATACATAACATTAATAGACAATTACAGCTGAAGGAGAGAACTACATAAAATGACATTATACATAACATTAATATACAGGTACAGAACTACATCATTTTGGGGGGGGGGGATTTGTTCTCCCCGCGCTGCTTACGACTATTTATGTCTTCTCATACAGGAGTAATAAAGCCCCAGTGCACTAATGTTGTGGAAAAAATACATTATGATTTATCAGGGGGTGCTGCAGCACCCTCAGCACCCCTACTTCCCGCGGCTATGGATGTTACTGAGGACTATTTATGTCTTCTCATACAGAAGTAATAGAAAATAATGTAAATGCACCAATTCCTCCACAGTTTTCACCCTAGCAACCATGCCATTCAGCTCAAAAATGAGCTACAGATGGAGATTCCTCCCCGCTAAGGCTTCAATTCAATCCTTCACCTCACCTCACCAACCTTGTAGGAGATTCCTCCAGCTAAAGTTTCAATTTAATCCTTCATTTTAGCTACATACACTACCGGTAAAAAGTTTTAGAACACCTACTCATTCAAAGGTTTTTCTTTATTTTTACTTTTTCTACATTGTAGAATAATAGTGAAGACATCAGAACTATGAAATAACACATATGGAATCATGTAGTAACCAAAAAAAGTGTTAAACAAATCACTCTTCTTCTTCATCAAATAGCCCTTACACAGCCTGCAGGTGTGTTTGGTCATTGTCCTGTTGAAAAACAAATGATAGTCCCACTAAGCCCAAACCTGATGGGATGGCGTATCACTGCAGAATGCAGTGGTAGCCATGCTGGTTAAGTGTGCCTTGAATTCTAAATAAATCACAGACAGTGTCACCAGCAAAGCACCCCCATACCATAACACCTCCTCCTCCATGCTTTACAGTGGGAAATAAACATGCGGAGATCATCCGTTCCCCCACACCGCGTCTCACAAAGACACTGCGGTTGGAACCAAAAATCTCCAAATTTCCACCGGTCTAATGTCCATTGCTCATGTTTCTTGGCCCAAGCAAGTCTCTTCTTCTTATTGGTGTCCTTTAGTAGTGGTTTCTTTGCAGCAATTCGACCATGAAGGCCTGATTCACGCAGTCTCCTCTGAACATTTGATGTTGAGATGTGTCTGTTACTTGAACTCTGTGAAGCATTTATTTGGGCTGCAATTTCTGAGGCTGGTAACTCTAATGAACGTATCCTCTGCAGCAGAGGTAACTCTGGGTCTTCCATTCCTGTGGCGGTCCTCATGAGAGTCAGTTTCATCATTTACATTTTAAATTTTAGACATTTAGCAGACGCTCTTATACAGAGCGACTTACAGTTAGTGAGTGCATTCATTTTTTATTTTAAAAAACAAAATCATACTGGCCCCCCGTGGGAATCGAACCCACAACCCTGGCGTTGCAAGCGCCATGCTCTACAAACTGAGCTACACGGGGCCCATAGCGCTTGATGTTTTTTTGCGACTGCACTTGAAGAAACTTTGAAAGTCCTTGAAATTTTCCGTATTGACTGACCTTCATGTCTTAAAGTAATGATGGACTGTCATTTCTTTTTGCTTATTTCAGCTGTTCTTGCCATAATATGGACTTGTCTTTTACCATATAGGGCTATCTTCTGTATACCCCCCCTACCTTGTCACAACACAACTGATTGGCTCAAACGCATTAAGGAAAGAAATTCCACAAATTAACTTTTAAGAAGGCACACCTGTTAATTTAAATGCATTCCAGGTGACTACCTCATGAAGCTGGTTGAGAGAATGCCAAGAGTGTGCAAAGCTGTCATCAAGGCAAAGGGTGGCTACTTGAAGAATCTCAAATATAAAATATTTTTGGTTACTACATGATTCCATATGTGTTATTGCATAGAAAATAGTAAAAATAAAGAAGAACCCTTGAATGAGTAGGTGTTCTGAAACTTTTGACCGGTAGTGTATGTGGACTTTTTAAGAGATCCATCACTCCACTATGTTCAATAAATTGAACAGTCATCATCAGATTGGTGCTTCTATGAAGTCTTTCACACCCTGCTCATTGCAATGAGCTACAGATGGAGTTTCCTCCCCACTAAGGCTTCAATTTAATCCTTCACCTCAGCAACCGTGTTGTAGTTTTCTGCAGCTTAAGTTTCAATTTAATCCTTCTCCTTAGCTACATACGTGAACTTTTTAGAGATCCATCACTCCACTCCGTTCAATAAATTAAACAGAGTCATCATATCATCAGATGGGGTTCACTTACGTCCTTCGCCCTGTCTTGTGCATAGAAATGAACTAAACCAAACATTTGCTGTGTTACAGTCTACTGCCCATAAAGGGTTAACTGAGGTAAAGTGTAATGGTTTGCAGTCTACCGCCCGTAAAGAGGTAGGTAAGGTATAGTGCGCGTAGCCTTTGGTTCTCTTATGGAGTTTCCTCTGGTTCTCTTATGGAGTTTCCTCCGGTTCTCTTATGGAGTTTCCTCCGGTTCTCTTATGGAGTTTCCTCCGGTTCTCTTATGGAGTTTCCTCCGGTTCTATTAAGGAGTTTCCTCACGTTCTCATAAACGTGTTTTGTATTTCCATTTTGCACCACACTCACACCCAGCAGCATCCACCAGTCACACACAAAATAAGAATACACTTTCATACACTTCAATAAAACTTTGCTAAGCAGATCATATGAAGCAGGATGTCCTTACTCTACTGAGGCTTTGCTTACAATTGCTTTCTTTGAGTAGGCCATGATATCCTGATGCCAAGGGCACATCTTATCTATAACTTTAACCCAAACACCCGATGTGTTCGGGAAGGAGATGCTACAGCTATTTAGGTCAGAGGCGTTGTGCTGTGATGTGCTGTTTTATTCGTTTTTTAAAGCTTTAGGGACTTTGAAGAGACCTTTAGTTGCATGCCTTGTGGAATATGAATGTTTGTCAGAGCTACACTATATATACAAAAGTATGTGGACACCCTTTCAAATTAGTGGATTTGGCTATTTCATTTACATTTTAGTCATTTAGCAGACGCTCTTATCCAGAGCGACTTACAGGAGCATTTAGGGTTAAGTGCCTTGCTTAAGGGCACATCGACAGATTTTTCACCTAGTCGGCCCGGGGATTAGAACCAGCGACCTTTCGGTTACTGGCACAACGCTCTTACCCACTAAGCTACCTGCCACCCACTAAGCTACCTGCCATTTCAGTCACGCCAGTTGCATAAAATTGAGCACACAGCCATGCAATCTTCATAGACAAACATTGGCAGTAGAATGGCCTCACAGAAGAGCTGACTTTCAACGTGGCACCGTCATAGGATGCCACCTTTCCAACAAGTCAGTTCGTCAAATTTCTGCCCTGCTAGAACTGCCCCGGTCAACTGTAAGTGCTGTTATTGTGAAGGGGAAACGTCTAGGAGCAACAACGGCTCAGCCGCGAAGTGGTAGGCCACACAAGCTCACAGATCTAGACCGCTGAGTGCTTAGGTGCGTAAAAATCATCTGTCTTCGGTTGCAACACTCACTACCGAGTTCCAAACTGCCTTTGGAAGCAATGTCAGCACAATAACTTTTCATTGGGAGCTTCACGAAATGGGTTTCCATGGCCGAGCAGCCGCACACAAGCCTAAGATCACCATGCGCAATGCCAAGCGTCGGCTGGAGTGGTGTAAAGCTCGCCGCCATTGGACTCTGGAGCAGAGGAAACGTGTTCTCTGGAGTGATGAATCACGCTTCAACATCTGGCAGTCCGATGGACGAATCTGGGTTTGGTGGATGCCAGGAGAATGCTACCTGCGCCAATGCATAGTGCCAACTGTAAAGTTTGGTGGAGGAATAATGGTCTGGGGCTGTTTTTCATGGTTCAGGCTAGGCCCCTTAGTTCCAGTGAAGGGAAATCTTAACGCTACAGCATACAATGACATTCTAGTCGATTCTGTGCTTCCAACGTTGTGGCAACAGTTTGGGGAAGGCCCTTTCCTGTTTCAACAATGACAAGCGAGGTCCAGAAAAGGTTTGTTGAGATCGGTGTGGAAGAACTTTACTAGCCTACACAGAGCCCTGACCTCAACCCCATCTAACACCTTTGGGATTAATTGGAATGCCGACTCTGAATGGAAGCAAGTCCCCGCAGCAATGTTCCAACGTCTAGTGGAAAGCCTTCCCAGAAGAGTGGAGGTGGTTATAGTAGCAAAGGGGGGACCAACTCCATAATGCCCATGATTTTGGAATAAGAAGTTCAACGAGCAGGTGTCCACATACTTTTGATGTCCACCCTCTGTGGAAAGGGTTCTATATGGAACCCAAAAGGGTTCTACTTGGAAACAAAATGCTTCTACCTGGAAGCAACAAGGGTTATTCAAAGGGTTATCCTATGGGAACAGCCGAAGAACCCTTTTAGGTTCTAGAAAGCATTTTTTTTTTAAAGAGTGTACTGCTCTAAGGAGGACTAACAATAACTAGCTGCTGTTGTGAGGGAAGAGAATGCACTCTGACCTTGCCAGTGGATTTGACGCCTTTGAAGATGCATAAGTAGACAATGACCCAGGCCAGGATGAGGATGCCAAACAGCTCCCAGCGTAGTCCTCCTGCCTCCTCAATACCATTGGTTATCTCCAGAAGCCTGTGACTGAGAGAGGAAGGAAGGGTCAGGATGGGAAACAAAGCTAAAGAAACCTTCATAGCTTATCATACTGTTATCATTCAATAACACAAAAGCCCTGACTTTACAGTAATCTGTCCTCCTGCTTCAATTAACATCCAGCTTGGGGTTTTCATTACTTTTCTCACCATATGATTATCCAAAGAGAGTACAAACCCTCTGCGATAAAACAAGCTATAACAATAACACCAAGAGTCCTGAGCCCTACCCATGCCCTCGACTTTCATGCCCTACCACTACGTCAATAAACATTTTATTAAATGAAGATTCCCAATGAGAGTTCAACCTTTATTAACCAACTCAAAAAGACAGCCAGAAGTTTGTTGAATTCCCAATGTGCTATTACTGCTTTCAACCATCTAAAAGTACAACCAAATTCCAATGGAAAAACAATGTCTGATTTTTGGTTTAGTGATCATCTAAATGTGTTATCATTGCGCTTTCAACCATTTAAAAGCACAACAAAGTTCAAATGGGAATACAATATAGTCAGATATTTTGTATTAATACAACAACTCAATGTGTTATAACTGTGCTTCATCTACTATCACAACCAAATGACCTGGATTTCAGTTGAAATTAAATTAAAAGTACATAGTGCAAGTGATCAATGCTGTTCAAGATTCTGCTATCTTTGCATGCTATCTTGAACATGCACGCTTTCTATGATCACATAAAATATACATTTATAGTTACATTAGGCTAACCTCAAAATGTGGCCATGGATGTGTTACTCATTTAAAGGTTGAATAACTACTGTTACATTCGTTTGTAAGCTAGCCCTAACTTTAGGATATTTACTGTATTACAAAAATATTATTGAATTGTGTTTGGTTGACAATGAATCCAAATGTTAACATTTAAAGAATATCTAATGCTTGAAAAGTTTCATCTCAGCCACTGGTTTAATCCTATTCTTTAACTTTTAATTTTGGTTTAGTTGGAGATGTAAATCCAACATGTAATTTGTTAACAAGTTAATAGGCTATTTACTGTATGGCAAAAGTGATATTGAAATGTGTTTGGTTGTCAACAAATTCCAGTTTGTCTATAAGTTAATAATTATATGTTGGATTCACGTCTCCATCTCAACCAATAATCCAAGTTAAAGAACAGGACTAAATTAAATCAAACGTTATTTAAAGTGCATTTAAAGTTAGATTTAATTAGATTTACTGGAATTAAAGCCAGACTAACTCAGTGGCACAGATGGAACTATCCAAGCAGAAAATACATCTCCTTCAAATGTTGATATTTGGTTGCGTTGACAACTAAACACAATTCAATATCCAGTTTGTCTATAAATTAATAATTTATATGTTGGATCACGTCTCCATCTCAACCAAAAAATCGATGTTTAAGAATAGGATAAAATCTAAATCAACCTTTAAATGCACTTTAAATAAAGTTTGATTTGATTTAGTCCTATTCTTTAACTTAGATTGTTGGTTGAGATGAAGACGTATTAATGATTAACTTGAAGATTACATTTCAAATCAACAAAAGCTTGAAACCGTAGGCCTATATTTATTGTTTATTTTTAGTTGAACAATAGCTGCTGATGACTTTGCAAATTCTATATAGGCCTAAATAATATAATTGGTGATATGAATTATAAAGTATGGTAACATTTCATTTGCTCTGTTAAACCTACCGTTCTGAAATGACTTTGATAGCAACAGTGAATATATTTAGTTATTAAGAGTTCTCTCAATAATCATTCTCACAATAGCACATTGGTAGTAGTCAGTGACAAATATAAAAGCTAAGCATGGCTGGGCTTGGTTAAAACCATAGATGGGCGACCAAATTAATAGCTGTAGATAAACTCTTCAGTAGGAGGTGCTGCACAGCCTAATGTTTTTTTATTTTTATAGTGGATATACATTTGAAGATATGACGTTGTTTCAAAGGTACAAATTCAACATATTTAATACAAGGTTTGTCAATGTTGAAAATTGGTTACCATTAGGACCTAATCCTGTGGTTGAAATTTCACCCTCAAAACAACAGTTAACGTTGATTACTTTTTGCAAATCAAATGTATTTTAAACAGATTCCACGTCACAATACGTTGACAAATTACATTGAAACAATGTCAATTCAACCAGTTTGTGCCCAGTTGGACGGTGCTTACTCAAAGTACTGCTGACTGGCTGATTGCAGGTGGGTGGCGTTTCCAGGGAAACCGCTGGAGCAGTTACCCACAGCATTCCAGGTGTTGTTGCAGGACTGCCAGGGAAGGTTGGCTCGGAATGAGTTGAAGAAGTAGTAGAGCGCCCAGCTCATGAGAACGTTGTAGTAGGTGCAGAGCACAAAGGAGATGACAACTGTGGCAATGCCCACACCTGTAGAGCGACAGGGAGGGCAAAGGGGACAAAGTAAGATACCTTACAGTGGTGATGGCCAAGCAGCAGTAGCTACTTTCTCCTCTGGTGTCTCTTGTATATGGGCCTCCATCGGCAGTGTACTGAACTGTATGTGGATCTGTAAAGGTAGGCCTGGGTAAACAATGGTAGTGCTCCCATTAACAATTAGCGCTGGACAATTAATTTTTTAAGATACTGGACAAAGAAGGTACACTTCCAGTTAAAGTGTAGTACTAGGATAAATTCATCCAGCCAGCATGTGTGAGGTTCCAAGAAAGATGAATAGCTGCTATGGTAGGGTTTTAGACATGCATGTGGCTACAATTCAACTAACCTAATGTAGCAGGCGTAAAATAAATGCCTGAGCGGCGTTTCTATCTTTTTTGTCGGGGGAGGTTCTCTTCTGCACTGTTCAACCAATCCAGTAAATGTGGAGGAGGAGTTAAGATGGAGTGTCTCCCAAAAGCTGAAGTCACGTCACAGGCGCTCTTTTCCATTTCCCCTTAAAACCGGAAGCATCCGGTTGTTACCGACCCGCTGAGTGTGCAATCCAACAAACACTTTCCAGGAAAGCCAAAGGTCAAGAACAATAAGTCCTTAGAGCATGTTACAAATTTATTACACGGCGGGCTGAGTGTCTGCGGGTTTTTGCTCCTCCCTTGTACTTTATTAATTGAGGTCACTAATTAGTAAAGAACTCCCCTCACCTGGTTGTCTAGGTCTTAACTGAAAGGAAAACCCCCAAAAAACAGCAGACACTAAGCCCTACATGGAATGAGTGACACCCCTGCCTTAGAGCTTTCTCAAATATGTTTTTTTTGAAAGGTTCAGTAACAGGACCCATTCAAAACAATAAAAACCAGAGGTGGGAAGGGAACGCAACATTGGCCATAACAGGGTCACAACTAAATAGGCCAGCAGTTCCTAACTTAGAATAATTCCACTCTATTTTGTGGGAACTGAAGAAGAGTCATATGTGGACATCCTGTCCAGGCCTTCTGGCATCTGTGGATATATTGAGTTGGGATTTAATTTGCAACACAGTCCTTCAACAAGAGGACTATATATATATATATATATATATATATATATATATATATATATATATATATATATATATATATATATATATATATATATATATATATATATATATACACAGTGGGGAGAACAAGTATTTGATACACTGCCGATTTTGCAGGTTTTCCTACTTACAAAGCATGTAGAGGTCTGTAATTTTTATCATAGGTACACTTCAACTGTGAGAGACGGAATCTAAAACAAAAATCAAGAAAATCACATTGTATGATTTTTAAGTAATTAATTTGCATTTTATTGCATGACATAAGTATTTGATACATCAGAAAAGCAGAACTTAATATTTGGTACAGAAACCTTTGTTTGCAATTACAGAGATCATACGTTTCCTGTAGGTCTTGACCAGGTTTGCACACACTGCAGCAGGGATTTTGGCCCACTCCTCCATACAGACCTTCTCCAGATCCTTCAGGTTTCGGGGCTGTTGCTGGGCAATACAGACTTTCAGCTCCCTCCAAAGATTTTCTATTGGGTTCAGGTCTGGAGACTGGCTAGGCCACTCCAGGACCTTGAGATGCTTCTTACGGAGCCACTCCTTAGTTGCCCTGGCTGTGTGTTTCGGGTCGTTGTCATGCTGGAAGACCCAGCCACAACCCATCTTCAATGCTCTTACTGAGGGAAGGAGGTTGTTGGCCAAGATCTCGCGATACATGGCCCCATCCATCCTCCCCTCAATACGGTGCAGTCGTCCTGTCCCCTTTGCAGAAAAGCATCCCAAAGAATGATGTTTCCACCTCCATGCTTCACGGTTGGGATGGTGTTCTTGGGGTTGTACTCATCCTTCTTCTTCCTCCAAACATGGCGAGTGGAGTTTAGACCAAAAAGCTCAATTTTTGTCTCATCAGACCACATGACCTTCTCCCATTCCTCCTCTGGATCATCCAGATGGTCATTGGCAAACTTCAGATGGGCCTGGACATGCGCTGGCTTGAGCAGGGGGACCTTGCGTGCGCTGCAGGATTTTAATCCATGACGGCGTAGTGTATTACTAATGGTTTTCTTTGAGACTGTGGTCCCAGCTCTCTTCAGGTCATTGACCAGGTCCTGCCGTGTAGTTCTGGGCTGATCCCTCACCTTCCTCATGATCATTGATGCCCCACGAGGTGATATCTCGCATGGAGCCCCAGACCGAGGGTGATTGACCGTCATCTTGAACTTCTTCCATTTTCTTCCAGTTGTTGCCTTCTCACCAAGCTGCTTGCCTATTGTCCTGTAGCCCATCCCAGCCTTGTGCAGGTCTACAATTTTATCCCTGATGTCCTTACACAGCTCTCTGGTCTTGGCCATTGTGGAGAGGTTGGAGTCTGTTTGATTGAGTGTGTGGACAGGTGTCTTTTATACAGGTAACGAGTTGAAACAGGTGCAGTTAATACAGGTAATGAGTGGTGAACAGGAGGGCTTCTTAAAGAAAAACTAACAGGTCTGTGAGAACCGGAATTCTTACTGGTTGGTAGGTGATCAAATACTTATGTCATGCAATGAAATGCAAATTAATTACTTAAAAATCAAACAATGTGATTTTCTGGATTTTTGTTTTCGATTCCGTCTCTCACAGTTGAAGTGTACCTATGATAAAAAAGTACAGACCTCTACATGCTTTGTAAGTAGGAAAACCTGCAAAATCGGCAGTGTATCAAATACTTGTTCTCCCCACTGTATATATATATATATATATATATATATATATATATACACAGTGCTATGAAAAAGTATTTGCCCCCTTTCTAATTTTCTCTACTTTTGCTTATTTGTGATACTGAATGTTATCAGATCTTCAACCAAAACCTAATATTAGATAAAGGGAACATAAGTGAACAAATAACACAACAATTACATATTTTTTTCATTTATTTCATAAACAAAGTTATGCAACACCCAATTCCCCTGTGTGAAAAAGTAATTGCCCCCTTACACTCAATAACTGGTTGTGCCACCTTTAGCTGCAATGACTCCAACCAAATGCTTCCTGTAGTTGTTGATCAGTCTCTCACGTCGCTGTGGACGAATTTTGGCCCACTCTTCCATGCAGAACTGCTTTAACTCAGTGATGTGTGGGTTTTCAAGCATTAACTGCTCGTTTCAAGTCCTGCCACAACATCTCAATTGGGATTAGGTCTGGACTTTGACTAGGCCATTCGAAAACTTCCAATTTGTTGCTTTTTAGCAATTTTCATGTAGACTTGATTGTGTGTTGTGTGTTCCTTCTATTAAGGCAAGTCGTCCAGGTCCTGAGGCAGCAAAGCATCCCCAAACCATCACACCACCACCACCATGCTTGACCTTTGGTATGATGTTCTTACTGTGGAATGCAGAGTTTGGTTTTCGCCAGGCATTACTGGAACCATGTCGTCCAAAAAGTTAGACTTTTGAATCATCTGTCCATAGAACGTTCTTCCAAGAGTCTTGATGATCATCCAGGTGATTTTTGGCAAACTTGAGTCAACTTTTTGGACGAGATGGGTCCCATTATGCCTGGCGAAAACCAAACACTGCATTCCACAGTAAGAACATCATACCAAAGGTCAAGCATGGTGGTGGTGGTGTGATGGTTTGGGGATGCTTTGCTGCCTCAGGACCTGGACGACTTGCCTTAATAGAAGGAACCATGAATTCTGCTCTGTATCAGAGAATTATACAGGAGAATGTCAGACCATCCATCTGTGAGATGAAGCTGAAGCGCAGCTGGGTCATGCAGCAAGACAATGATCCAAAACACACAATCAAGTCTACATGGAAATTGCTAAAAAGCAACAAATTGGAAGTTTTGGAATGGCGTAGTCAAAGTCCAGACCTAATCCCAATTGAGATGTTGTGGCAGGACAAGAAACGAGCAGTTCATGCTTGAAAACCCACACGTCACTGAGTTAAAGCAGTTCTGCATGGAAGAGTGGGACAAAATTTGTCCACAGCGACGTGAGAGACTGATCAACAACTACAGGAAGCATTTGGTTGGAGTCATTGCAGCTAAAGGTGGCACAACCAGTTATTGAGTGTAAGGGGGCAATTACTTTTAAACACAGGGGAATTGGGTGTTGCATAACTTTGTTTATGAAATAAATATGTAATTGTTGTATTATTTGTTCACTATGTTCCCTTTATCTAATATTAGGTTTTGGTTGAAGATCTGATAACATTCAGTATCACAAATATGCAAAAGTAGAGAAAATTAGAAAGGGGGCAAATACTTTTTCATTGCACTGTGTATATACACACACACACACACACACACACACACATATATACACTGCTCAAAAAAATAAAGGGAACACTTAAACAACACAATGTAACTCCAAGTCAATCACACTTCTGTGAGGAGGGCATTAATCAGAGAGGCAACAAAGAGACCAAAGATAACCCTGAAGGAGCTGCAAAGCTCCACAGCGGAGATTGGAGTATCTGTCCATAGGACCACTTTAAGCCGTACACTCCACAGAGCTGGGCTTTACAGAAGAGTGGCCAGAAAAAAGCCATTGCTTAAAGAAAAAAATAAGCAAACACGTTTGGTGTTCGCCAAAAGGCATGTGGGAGACTCCCCAAACATATGGAAGAAGGTGCTCTGGTCAGATGAGACTAAAATTGAGCTTTTTGGCCATCAAGGAAAACGCTATGTCTGGTGCAAACCCAACACCTCTCATCACCCCGAGAACACCAAAAAGGTGGCTCTACAAAGTATTGACTTTGGGAGGGTGAATAGTTATGCACACTCAAGTTCTGTTTTTTTTTGTCTTATTTCTTGTTTCACAATAAAACATATTTTGCATCTTCAAAGTGGTATGCATGTTGTGTAAATCAAATTATACAAACCCCCTCAATTTTAATTCCAGGTTGTAAGGTAACAAAATAGGAAAAATGCCAAGGGGGGGTGAATACTTTCGCAAGCCACTGTATCTGCGGAGTCTCGAAACATATTCCAATCATCCCTAACAAAGCAGTCCTGTAGCATAACCTCTGATTCTGGTGACCATTTCTCAATGGAACGAGTCACAGGTACTT